GCGTTGGGTGCGGTGCCTGTATAATTCAGCTGAGCAGCTGGATGAAGAGAGGAAGGAGACGTGACTCTGCATGTGGACTTGTCCGGGGGCAGGGCTCGGGACAAGCAGTGCAGCCCCGTCCACCCCTCTTCTCAGGCCACCATGGGGTGCGGACCTCCAGGAGTAGGGTGGGAAAAGCACCCTCTTCCAGAATCCAGGTTAAAGCTGTTGGAAGTGTGCTGCTTTCCCCACCAGTTGAGTTTGGATGTTTTAAAATAGTAGCGGGCTGTTTCCGATCCCTCCTGAAAGGAGCAGCTGGTCTCTGGGTGAATTTGTCTTGATGAGCTTCGGGTTTGAAATCAGGGTGATTCTTGATTGGCCAGAGGTGGTAGAAGCCAGCTGCCTTGTGGGCCCAGAGGCCTGGGTAACACAAAGCCCCTTGTGGCCCAAACATGCGACCTACTTGGTGTATTCCTTTCGGGCAGGTCTCATCTACGTTTGTAGAAAACTAGCCCCCAAGATGTGACTGACCACTCTTTTCCTGCGCCAGTAGGGTTCATTCATTCATTCATTGAAAAATGACTTGACAGTGACAGTGTTTGTTGCTCAGTTGTGCCTGACTCTTTGTGACCCCATACTGTAGCCCACCAGGCTCCGCTGTCCATGGGATTCTCCAGGCAAGAATACAGGAGTGGGTTGCCATTTCCTCCTCCAGGGGATCTTCCTTTCTTTTCCTGGGCCAGGAGGGTTTGTTCATTCATTCAAAAATGATTTACTGAGCACTTATTATGTGCCAAGTGCTGAGCATTATAATGAAGTTTCTTTTGGCAGTTTTTCTGGAACCTGCAGAATATAATACAGGCCTGCCTTCTGCTTGGGTGGGCTGGAGGAACACCCTACCACAACACTGAGCTGATGGGATTATTCTCACACTGAGTGTTAGAGGCAATGATGGAGGCTTCTGGATGTGGAAGAATAGTGGAAGCCATTCAGTTTGTTCAATTTGTTCAGGTGGTTGAATGAGGGTGGGGAGTATTTTTTTTGTTTTGTTTTCATTTTGACTTCCTTTATCATCTGTGTAACTTCATAAACAGATATAGTTCTCCAGGAAGCACCAGTAAGGCACTGGGGACTTGTAACCTTGAGGAAAAGACTGGGGTGCATGTCTGCCTCAGACACCCCAAGTGCCGTCCTATGGCTTCATCTGGCATCGCTTCAGACTTCAGCATAAGTAGCCTCAGCATCACCTGGGAACCTGCTAGAAAATACAGGTTCTTGGCCCCACCCCAGAACCGGGATTGCCAGTGTGGGGTGGGGGGGGCTGGAATCTGTGTTTTGACAAGCCCTCTATCTAGGTGATTCTGTTTCAGATTCAAATTTCAGAACCACTGCTTTTGCTTGAATCAGGAGGTCTAGGGTGGGGGCTCGAGGCTCTGCACTTCCAACAAGCTCCTAGATGATGTGATGTGGGGTGGACCACACCTTAATACCAGGTTGTACAAGGCAGCATGATGTGATGTGAGGGTATGGGCTGCAGCAGTGCCTCCTCAATCTCTATAGTCTTTAAAAGATGGGATTTGGGTGCAGCTGAACAACAAAACACCATGGTGCTGCTAAAAAGGGATGAAATCAGGCTGTAAACACTACCATGGTAAAATCTCCAGGACTATTTACTTATTTTTATTTTTTACTGAAGTATAGTTGTTTTATAACATTGTATGAATTTCTGTTGTATAGCAAAGTGATTTAGTTATACATATATATTTTTGGGTGGCGGGCTTCCCTGGTGGCCCACATGGTAAAGAATCTGCCTGCATTGCAGGAGTCCTGGGTTCGATCCCTGGGTTGGGAAGATCCCCTGGAGAAAGAAATGGCAACCTACTCCAGTATTCTTGCCTAGAGAATCCCATGGACAGAGGAGCCTAGTGGAGTCAGTTGTATCTGACTTGCAAAGAGTCAGATACAACTAAGTGACTTTCACTATATGTTCCTTTTTTTAAAATATTCTTTTCCATTATGGTTTATCACAACATATTGAATATAGTTCACTGTACTGTACAGTAGGACCTTGTTGTTTATCCATTCTATATATAATAGTTTATGTCTGCTAATCCCAAACTCCCACTCAATCCCTCCCCCCAACCCCCTCCCCCTTGGCAGCCCCCAGTCTGTTCTGTCTGTGCTTCTGTTTCATAGATAGGTTCACTTGTGTCATATTTTAGATTCCACATATAAGTGATATCATATGATATTTGTCTTTGTCTGACTTACTTCACTTACTGTGAACATCTCTAGTTGCATCCATGTTGCTGCAAATGACATTCATTATTTCATTCTTTTTAACAGCTGAGTAGTATTCCATTGTATATATGTACCACATCTTTAGCCATTCATCTCTTGATGGACATTTAGGTTGCTTCCATATCTTGACTGTTGTAAATAGTGCTGTTGTGAACATTGGGGTGCATGAATTTTTCTGAATTATAGTTTTCTCTGGATATATGCCCCGGGGGTGGGATTGCTGGGTCATATGGTAACTCTATTTTAGTTTTTTGAGGAACCTCCATACTGTTCTCCATAGTGACTGCACCAATTTACATTCCCACCATCAGTGTAGGAGGGTTCCCTTTTCTCCACACCCTCTCTAGCATTTATTTGTTGACTTTTTAATGATTGCCATTCTGACTGGTACCCTAGGAATATTGTTAGGCAAAAAAAAAGTAGATTTTGAAGATATCTTTTAATAGTGTGCTTCCATTAAAGCTAAGATAGTAAAATCATAATAAATTTCATTGTTGTATAAATCAAAAAAGCATTTTAGAGTGTGAATTTTAATTTTCACTATTTTTTCAGCAACTTAAACAATTTTTTCTTTTTTTGGCTGCACCACAGGGGCATGCAGGATGCTAGTTCCCCTACCTGAGATCAAACCCATGTCCCCTGTGGTGGAAGTGTGAGTCCTAACCACTGTACCACCCAGGAAGTCCTTGAAAATACTTATCTTGATTGATGGTTTTGCATACTCTTTTTTTTTTTTTTCCGTACTCTTAAATTTTGAGCCTAAAGCTTTGGGGATTCCTGTGGGAAGTGGTCTTTCTGGCCACCAGGCCCTGAGATGGTCTTAACTACTTGCAGCCTCCTCTCTGCTCCATGGACCTCTCTGGACTTCCAGAAGCCCCATCTCACCCAGTGGGGTACCCATGGGGGCGTGGGGGTGACTGTCATTTGATTGCTGAGCTTCTTGCTCTGTGTGGTACCTGTGGCCTCTCCAGCCAGGAGGCAGGCCCCACTGATAGTAGACCAGATTTAAAGTCAGCACGAGATCTAGGTTGGAGATGCTTTCCTGACTGTAGCTAATGTCATCAGTGCTCTGCCTCTGCCCCTGTCCCTTGCCACTTCTGAGCACATCTGTCCATGTCGAAGCTGACCACTGTGGGTGTTCTTGCTGGAGGCCCCCCACCCCCCACCTCCAGGCAGGTGGGACCTGGTGTGGAGAGAGCGCCCCACCCCCAAGGGCGCTCTCCAGGGTGCTGCCTAAGCAGAGGGACAAAGACCCCAGCTCCCGAGGGGCAGGGTGACTCAGAGGTGTGTGTTCTCTGTCCCCTACCTTGCCTGACCAGTGGGACCCTGGTTGCCCACTGACTGGATGACACCCCCCCCACCAACCTTGTCATCTTCTCCCTCTCCTGAAGGTGGGGAGTCACCTCACACTGTTCCTGGGGTCTCCCTTCCTAGAGGCACCTTCCAAATACCTCCTTTTCCAGGAAAACCCAAACTAAAATAAAATCACGGTTTACTCTGCCCACTCTGAAACCCAAACATTAAGGCAGGCAAGTGAGAAGATTAGAGTACCTCCTCTTAAAGCCAGGTGGTAGAGTTTTGCTGTTTGCGTCTGTTTTTATTATGTTTGCTCTGTGGACAATTTTGTCTCCTGCCTTAACCATTTTCCTCATAGTCTTCATCCTTGGTTATGGTGATTTTTTTTTTTTCTCCCTATTTCCCCAACCCAGGAGCCTCAGATAAGTATGTTTCTCTCGTTTCTCGGGGGAGTTGGACTTTACTGCATCTAAGGGATACCACACACCATCTGTCTTCCTCTGTATAGCTCATCTCACTGAACATAATGTCCTCAAGGTCCATCCACATTGTTGCAAATGGCAGGATTTCCTCCTTTGTCCTGGCTGAATGATACTCCATTGTAGATATGTACCACATCTCCTTTATCCATTCATTTGTTGAGGGGTACTTAGGTTGTTTCCATGTCTTGGCTGTTGTGAATAAAGCTACAGTGAACAGGGATGTGGAGATAGCTTTCTGAGATCCTGTTTTCATTTTCTTTGGATAAATACAGATAGTGGGACTCCTGGATCATATGGAAGGTCTGTCTTTAACTTTTCAAGGAACCTCCACCCTGTTCTCCACAGTGGCTGCACCAATTTACATTCCCACCAACAGTGCATGAGGGTACCCTTTTCTCCACACCTTCTCCAGCGTTTACCTCTTGTCTTGTTGATAATAGACATTCTGACAGGTGTGAGGTGATTTCTCCTACCTTGTTCAATTGCTAAGTCATGTCTGACTCTTTGGGACCCCACGGACTGCAGCATGCCAGCCTCCTCTGTCCTCCACTATCTCCTAGAGTTCGCTCAAACTCATATCCTTTGAGTTGGTGATGCTGTCTAACCATCTCATCCTCTGCTACCCTCTTCTCCTTTTGCCTTCAATCTTTCCCAGAATCAGGGTCTTTTCCAATGAGTTGGCTCTCCTACCTGCGTGGTGGCAGTTTGCACTTTTCTGATGACTGGTGATGCTGGGCATCTTCCCTTGTGTCTCTCAGCCCTTCATATGTCTTCTTTGGAAAAATGCCTATTCAGTTCCTTTGCATGTTTTTTGAATTGGATCATGTGGGGTTTTTTTTTTTGCCATTGTGTTGTATGGGATGACTTTTAATGGCCTCATAGGTGGGAAGCTCTGGCTTGGCCTTGACCCGCTGGTTCTGTGTCTGCCCCTCGCCCCTGCAGGCATTCGCCCCTACAAGTGTGATGTCTGCCACAAAGCCTTCACCCAGCGCTGCTCCTTGGAGTCCCACCTGAAGAAGATCCATGGGGTGCAGCAGCAGTATGCCTATAAGCAGCGCCGGGATAAGCTGTATGTCTGCGAGGACTGCGGCTACACGGGCCCCACCCAGGAGGACCTGTACCTGCACGTGAATGGTGCCCACCCGGGCAGCGCGTTCCTCAAAAAGACATCCAAGAAACTTGCAGCTCTCTTGCAAAACAAGCTGACGTCCTCGCTCCAGGGAAATGCCAACCTGAGCGAGGAGGAAGAGAAGTAGGAGAGGGGCGTGGATGCCAACTCTGCCACGTGTCCACGGATTCCTGGTCTTGCAGGTTCCCTGCCCCACGTGCTATTCCAGAGTCCAAGTGGTCCGTTCATCTCTGTCCTTGGGGCCTCATTGGGGGCTCCATGCCAACACTGTCGTTGATAACAGTGGCATCAGGCCCCTGTCACCTGGGCCCTCAGGAACGCTATCACACTAATGGAAGCTAGTGGAGGGCTGTGATCACCGTCTGGGTCTAGTTTTCGTTTTTTGTTTTGTTTTTAGGATTTTCACACATGGAGGCAGGGGTGTTCTGAGAGAAACACCCTTGGAGAGATTGATATGGTGCCTTGAAATAAAAGTACTTCCACTTGAAATGCTACTCCAGCAAGGAAAACGAATTCTGTTATTCTGAAAGCATTGGCCAGAATTATTCTAATAAAGGGAACATCCTTGTGGAATTATCCAGCTCAGAATGCAACAGGAGAGTGCTGACCTGGTGCTCCCTGTCCAGAGCTTATCACGGGACCTTTGGCTTCAGGTTGTTTGGGTGTGAGTGTTTTGTACTAGTGGGTGGGTTTGAAGAAGCGAATCTTGAGCACTGGGTAAAGGTAAACACATGGCTGGTGAGCTGGGCAGAGGCTCTGGGCTCGGCTTGGATGGGCTGGCAGACACTCTTAGTGGCCAAGCATCCTGTGGCGATGCTCTAGCCTCCTGGGACAGGCCAGCTGGCTGAAGGCCGTCTTCCACCCTCCTTGAGTCTGGCACTGGGGCCAAGGCTGGAGCATGAGGAGCCCGGAGCATACTCAGTGCCCTTGAGTGGTGGTGGTGTGGGGACGATGGGGGCATCAGTATCTCCTTCAGGGCCTGTAAGTGCTGAGCGGAGTGACCTTTGGCCACCTGCACCTCCTCACCTGGGACATTAGCGATAAAGTTGGCCGGGACTGAGATGGAGCAAAAGGGAAACTGGGGTGGGAGGAGGGGGTGTGGGGTGGTTTCCAGGGTTCCCCCCATGCCTGGAGGGGTGGGAGGAAGGATCTGGATCTCCCCAGAGCCACAGTGGCCAGGAAAGTTTTACCCCAGTCCCAGGAGCTGCCAGAACCAGTCAGGAGGTCTGATCCACAGCACCTCGCTGGACTTCGCTGCCCCTTGGCCCCTGGGTGCTGGCCGAGTGCACAGGTTCAATCCCCTTCTGGAAAGTTAAGAAAACCTTGGCTTTGGGGCTAGTCTGGGAACGTTCCGATGACATGGCTGTTTTCTTCTTGCCTCTCTGCCCGCATCGTCCTCCCCCTCTTCCCTCCCCCGTCACTTCCACCTTCTCTCCCCAACTCCCTCCCCCTGCCCCCAACACTGTGGTCAGGCCTCAGGCTGCAGTCTGGTTTAAGTGGTACATCCTATAACTCAACACTTCTCTGTGGAGTCAGCAGCGCTTTTCTTCAGAAGGAAGGAAGGAGGAAATAAATTCTCTTTTCACACCTATGATGCACCATGCACCAAGCCAAGCATGACGTTCTCAGGTCGCTCCTGTAGGGTCAGCATCTCTGTGCCTGGAGCTGCGGCTGGAACTGGCCGCTGGAGGAAGGGTCCAGGGATCCTAAATCTGGTCAGAACTCCTTTACCCCCACCTCTCCCCACCCTCCCTTCAGAAAGGAAAGACAAGGCCTCAGGTTCAACGTTGGCTGCACCTGAGGCTGGTGTGAGACAAAGGCAGGCTTTGGGGAATCCTCACCACCTGTGTCACCTGCCCTGGGGCAGTGACGAAGGGCAAGACAGCACTGTGCTGCCACATGGGTCCTGTCCACTGTGTCTGAAGCTCTGGCTATTTGGGCCGGAGCGGTGGTGCCATGTGGTCTGAATAGTACATTCAAGCATCAGCTGTGGCAGGGTTGCCCTTGGGACCCATGGTGACACGTGGGGTGGGGTGGGTGGTTGCTGGGTGCAGTCTCCTGGGACAGAGTCAGTGCTGAGGGCTCAACCCTGGCTCCAATGGGTGAGTGGCGTTGGGTCTCAACACTTGACGCAGGAGAGAGAAGCTGGGAGGCAGCTGGTTCTTTTTCCTCAGTTATCTGACATTCCTGTAAGGGAATACCTAAGTGACTCTGTCTGGACCAGCTGCCCTGTGGCCGGTTTTGCACAGAGAATTGTGAACTAGCTGACATGGTGTTCTCTTTAGGGTCAGATTTTTATTAAACAGAACTCTTCTGGTTGCAAGTGACAGAAAATCAATTTAAAATGACTTTAATGGACAAAAAGAATGTATTAGCTGTAACGTCTGGGGTTTTTCCAGCTTCAGGGTGGCTGGGCCTAGGTGCTTAAATCATTTGATCCTGTATCTTTTTTTCTTTTAACCAGTTTTCCTCCAGGTGGCTTCTTTCTCAAGCAGGTTCAAATGGGGGCTGGATGACCATCCACTGTTCCGGACGGGGCTTTATCCTGGGCTGATGCTTCTTGTCTCTGACTGGCCCAGTTTCTCTCTCATCATGGCCTCCCCTTGACCCCCGCCAATCATGTGCTCTGTGCCCAGGCCTGAGCCGGGGCTCCTGCCTCCTCTGAAGCAGGGCTGAGAGGGCAGCTGACTACACCTCTGGCCTAGGAGAGGTCTGGGTGGGTCTCCAGCAGGAAAGCAGGGTTCTTTGACCAGAGAGGACGTGGATATTGGGCAGGTGTACCAGCTAAGACAGGGCACAGCTGTGGGAACCAAGATTCCCAGCACGTGATGTGGCTTAAAGCAGGATGCCTCCTCCTCCCCTGTTGGCTCTGGGTCGGCAGGTAGCTCACCTCCATGCCATTACTCAGGGACCCAGACTTCCCATGTCTGTCGCTCCAGGACCTTGTCAATATGTGCTTGGTTGGAGCTGAGCCTCTGGGTTTAGGGCAGTAAGAGAATTGTCATGGTTTGGTTTCCTCCAGAAGCTGCTTCTGAGGTGAGAATTCAAGGTCAAGTTGCTGGCTTGGGAGGTGATCCCAGGAAAGAACAGATGTAGGGTGTTGGGCTGTGGGGCAGGAGAAGGACGACAATACAGGGACCGTAACTAGGGAAGTTGGGCTTCCCCAGGTGCCACCGTGGCAAAGAATCTGCCTGCCAATGCAGGGGATGCGGGTTCAATCCCTGAGTTGAAGATTCCCTAGAGAAGGAAAATGGCAACCCACTCCAATACTCTTGCCTGGGAAATCCCCTGGACAGAGGAGCCTGATGGGCTACAGTCCATGGGGTCGCAAAGAGGGGGACGTGACTTAGCAACTGAGCATGCACACACAAGTACAACCAGGAAAGTTACTGGTGTCCCAGCGGGGGGTCTCTGGGAGGCAGTTGCCCCCAGGAGGGGCACAGCAAGCCATTGTCCACTGGCTCCGCATGCCTGGGGTTTGGTTGAGGATGCTGGCATGGGAGCATTCATTTCTGGGCCTTTCCATCTTGCCCTGTGCACTGACCAGGCATGCCTCAAGTGCCAAGAAAACACTCAGGCAGAGCCCGAGGGCTTGGCTGTGAGCAATGTTAATACACCAAGTACAGCAAATGCTGAGGGGACATGGATGGGGAGGCACTGGGTCTGGTTCAGGGGTGGACAGGTCCCACCCACCCTCTGAACCGGCTGGCCAGAAATGGCACCTAGCCCTTTCAGTCACATTCCAGGGTGAAGACTTTGCCATGTTAGGGAGGACTGGGGAGGGAACACAGGTTCTCAGCCATGGGCTCTCGTAGGCCAGGGCAGAGGGGACAGATGATGGGAGCAGCTTGCAGACTCTGCCGTGGCAGGCAAAACCAGCTGACAACCACCCCGAGCCTCTGTCCCCTCCTCCCACCCGTCTGCTTGTCCTGCTCTCAGCCAGTTGTCAGGAAATCCTGCTACAGCATCCAGGATCAGGATTTAGGACACTGGTTCTCAGGTTGGCAGCCCTGGAAACTTAAGTCCATAGTGGTGAGGATGAACATGGATGAACTGTTGTCAGTATCTTCTGCCCTCATTGGAATCCATCCATTAACCTGTACGAAGTCAGGCTAGGTCAGGAAGGTCTTTGCTGTTGGTTGATCTTCGGTTGGCACCGAGAATGGAAACGAATTCTTGTGCTCCTCAGAAGTGCCTCCTGGCGGTTTGTTTTGGAAAGAGGGATCTGTTATCACCCATGTGCTGTATGTGCTTGATGTCCTAGGTTGGGTTCCTTGAAGCAGAGCCTGAGACCGGGAATCGAGGGCATGTCGTTTGCTGGGGTAGGCTCTCAAGAGAAACCGGGAAGGAGGTGAGGGATACCAGGTGCAATGGAGAGAAACCAGGCGAGGATGTGGGTGCGGCTGGAGTCCAGCCGCGGCATGATCTCAGGAGCCTCTCTCCTAGAGGCCGAGGGAGGCTGTTGGCTGTGGCTTATCCCTGGGAGGTGGCGGGGAGGCAGGACCATCCGGCTGTTAAGCAGCCAACGCTCTTGGAATCCAGGGGTGGTTCACATGGCGGTTTCCAAGGTGAGGGAGGGAGAGATCATAGGAATGGATTCTTAGCTGTGAAACCAACTGAGGTCCAATATTTACGTTTTGATAAGGGACCTCTTTTGGAGCTAAAGGAGTGAATCACTTATTGCAAATTATCTTGTGTTTGGGATAGAAATAAAAAATAGTTTAAAATGTATGCAAAGACAAGTCCTTTCCTCACACATGTCTCTCATCTGCCAAGCCTCTCTACCATCCATCATAATCAACCACTGTTAGCTTCTTGGGAAACTTCTGGAGTTTCTTTACTCATATGGAAGCAAATACGAACATATGTGTCCTTGTCCTCTACTGTTGTTTTTTTTTTTTTTTCCTACTGTTGTTTTTTAAAATTAACATATAGCATCATGCATACTCTTTGGAACCCTGCATTTTTCTTTTTTTCTTTATTTTTTATTGAAGTATAGTTAAATTACAGTGTTGTATTAGTTTCTGGTGTACAGCAAAGTGATTTACTTACACTATACATATTCTTTTCGTATTCTTTTCCATTACAGTTTATTAAAAGATTGAATATAGTAACCCGTGCTATATA